ACACCAACAACAACCAACAACAACCAACAACAGCAACAACAGCAGCAACAGCAACAGCAACAGCAACAGCAGCAGCAGCAGCAACAGCAAAAGCAACAGCAACAGCAACTGCAACAGCCACAGCCACAACCACAACCGCAACCACAACCGCAACCACAACCACAACCACAACCACAACCACAACCACACCGCGAACACAACCGCAACCGCAGCCGCAACCGCAACCGCAACCGCAACCGCAACCGCAGCCGCAACCGCAACCGCAACCGCAACCGCAACCGCAACCACAACCACAACCGCAACCCCAACCACAACCACAACCGCAACCGCAACCGCAACCGCAACCACAACCACAACCACAGCCACAACCACAACCACAACCACAACCGCAACCACAACCGCAACCACAAGCACAACCACAACCGCAACCACAACAACCACAACCACAACCACAACAACCACAACAACCACAACAACCACAACAACTACAACAACTACAACAGCCACACAACACACAACACAAAACAACAAACAACAAGCAACAATCAACAAACAACAAACAACAAGCAACAAGCAACAAGCAACAAGCAACAAGCAACAAACAACGAACAACGAACAACAAACAACAAACAACAAAAAACAATCAAATCAATCAATCAAACAAAAAAGCAATCAATCAACCAACCAATCAATCAAACAAGCAAACAAACAACAAGCAAACAAGCAAGCGAACAAACAAACAAATTACTTCGCTTCGAGCAATCCCCACCCTTCACTCACGAGCTTACGACCGTTACAACAAATCCCTCCGCATCCTAGAAACTTTGACTCCAAATTCCCATTGGCCTTTCTGGACATTAAGCAAAACCAGACTGGCGAGCTGCTCTGGCGGGATACTGGCGGGATCCACTGGCGAATGCTGGCGAGCTGCTCAGGCTTGACACTTGCCAGAGACTCGGCAGAGGGATACTCAGCGGGATACTCGGCGGGATCCACTCCACTGGCAAGCTACTCTGGGATATGCAGCGGGATACTTGGCGGGATTCACTGGCGGGCTGCTTTGGTGGCATACTCAGCAGCATCCACCGGCAAGGGATACTCAGCGGGCTACTCGGCGGGATCCACTTGCGAGCTACACTTGATACTTGGCGGGATGCTCGGCGGGATTCTGGCGGGCTGCTCTGGTGGGCTACTAGCTGGCGATGCTCAGCGGGACCCACTGGCGAGCTGCTCTGGGATAACCAGCGTGAGGATCCGGGCTGGCCGCTCTGGCGGGTACTCGGCGGGACCACTGGCGAGCAGCTCTGGCGGGATACTCTGCGGGAGGCGAGCTGCTCTGGCGGGATACTCTGGCGGGATACTGCGCGGGATACACTAGCAACCGCTCTGGCGGGATACTCGGCGGGATCCACTGGCGAGCTGCTCTGGCGGGATACTCAGCGGGACCCACTGGCGAGCTGCTCTGGCGGGACACTGCGTGGGGGCGTGGTGTAGAAGCATCGCAAACGCGGATTCCAACATAAAGTCGAACAACCCCTTCCTGTCGGGTGGGGAACGAACAAACAAACAAACAAACGAACGAACGAACGAACGAACAAGCAAGCAAGCAAGCAAGCAAGCAGGCAAGCAAGCAAGCAAGCAAACAAACAAACAAACAACAAGAGAAAACAACAACGGCAACAACCGCAACAACAATAACAGCACAACGACGACGACCAACAACCAACAACCAACAATCGACAACCAACAACTAACAACCAACAACCAACAACCAACAACCAACAACTGCCAACCAACAATCAACAACAGCCAACGAACAACCAACCACGGCCAACCAACAACCAACAACAGCCAACCAACATCCAACAACCGACAACCGACAAGCAACAACCAACAACCAACAACCAACAGGCAACAGCCAACCACCAACAACGAACAGCGAACAAACAACAACCAACAACCAACAACTAACAGCCAACAACTAAGAACCCACAACCGCAACAACAACAACCACAACCGCAACAACAACCACAACGACAACGACAACGCCAGCGACAGCGACAGCGACGGCGACAGCGACAACCGGAACAACAAGAAGAACAACAGCAACTGACGCACAAACACGCGCACACACACACAAACACACACACGCACACACACACACCCACCCACACACCCACACACACCCACACACAAAGACACACCCACACACAAAGACACACACAAAGACACACACACAAAGACACACAACACACAACACACAACACACAACACACAACACACAACGCACAACGCACAACACACAACACACAACACACAACACATAACACACAACACACAACACACAACACACAACACACAACACACAACACACAACACACAACCCACAACCCACAACCCACAACCACACAACCACACAACCACACAACCACTCAACCACACAACCACACAACCACACAACCAAACAACCACACAACCACACAACCCTCAGTTGTTCAAAGCCGACCTTTTGACCTTTTGGTTTTCCCTTTTTGGTCTCCTTTAAGTAGAGGTGCCAAAAGGTTAACCGTTTATTTGCAGGTCCTTTGGGCAAGTGAGAACCACACAAACACACAAACACACAAACACACAAACACACAAACACACAAACACACAAACACACAAACACACAAACACACAAACACACAAACACACAAACACACAAACACACAAACGCACAAACACACAAACACACAAACACACAAACACACAAACACACAACACACAAACACACAAACACACAAACACACAAACACACAAACACACAAACACACAAACACACAAACACACAAACACACAAACACACAAACACACAAACACACAAACACACAAGCACACAAACACACAAACACACAAACACACAAACACACAAACACACAAACACACAAACACACAAACACACAAACACACACACAAACACACAAACACACAAACACACAAACACACAAACACACAAACACACAAACACACAAACACACAAACACACAAACACACAAACACACAAACACACAAACACACAAACACACAAACACACAAACACACAAACACACAAACACACAAACACACAAACACACAAACGCACAAACACACACAAACACACACAAACACACACAACACACACAACACACACAAACACACAAACACACAAACACACAAACACACAAACACACAAACACACACAACACACAAACACACAAACACACAAACACACAAACACACAAACACACAAACACACAAACACACAAACACACAAACACACAAACACACAAACACACAAACACACACACACACACAAACACACAAACACACAAACACACAAACACACAAACACACAAACACACAAACACACAAACACACAAACACACAAACACACAAACACACAAACACACAAACACACAAACACACAAACACAACAAACACACAAACACAAAAACACAAAAACACACACAACACACAAACACACAAACACACAAACACACAAACACACAAACACACAAACACACAAACACACAAACACACAAACACACAAACACACAAACACACAAACACACAAACACACAAACACACAAACACACAAACACACAAACACACAAAAACACAAACACACAAACACACAAACACACAAACACACAAACACACAAACACACAAACACACAAACACACAAACACACAAACACACAAACACACAAACACACAAACACACAAACACACAAACACACAAACACACAAACACACAAACACACAAACACACAAACACACAAACCCACAAACCCACAAACACACAAACCCACAAACCCACAAACCCACAAACGCACAAACGCACAAACCCACAAACGCACAACCACACAAACACACAAACACACAAACACACAAACACACAAACACACAAACACACAAAAACACAAAAACACAAACAACACAAACAACACAAACAACACAAACAACACAAACAACACAAACACACGAACACACGAACACACAAACACACAAACACACAAACACACAAACACACAAACACACAAACACAAACACAAACACAAACACAAACACAAACACAAACAAAAACAAAAACAAACACACACACACGCACACCACCACATCTACACACGCACATGCACCACAAGCGCGCATACAAACACACACACACACACACAAACACACAAAACAAACACACACACACACACACACACACACGCGCCCACACCCACACCCATGCACACGAACACACCCGCACCGACATATGCACGCACGCACTCACGCGCAGCGTGCGCCCGCACGCGCACGTGCACGCACATGCGCTCACATACGCGCGGACAGGCGCACACACACCATCACAAACGCACACAGGCACATACCCTTACAACCACACATGCACAGGCGCACACACACACAGAGTTACACACACACACAATCGCACAACACACACCGTCTCACACGCACAATCACACACAATCACACACAATCACACACACACACACTTTCATGCACCATCCTACGCATTCACGCACAATCACACACACACACACTTAAACACAACCACATACAATCACACACACACACAACTCATCAAAATAATTACCGCACAGAAGCAACCAACACAGAAACAACACTCAAGAACTCAACGCGAAAAACAAAAAACCATCCCACCCGCCCGCCCGCTCGCCTGCCCAGAACCCCCTTTCTCAGCACGCCTGTGCGCCCACGCATCCACGCACACACCAGCGCACCCACGCACATGCGCACGAATGCACGCATGTATGTGTATACCATTGCAAAAATACAATGTACCGACCAATACAAGAAGGCAAGCCAGCCAGCCAGCCGTATTTTCCAACTAGGCAGCGAGCAAGCCAAACCACCCATTGACTCTGCAAGCATTTCCGTAATGGCACAAGGCCAGAAACTTTTGCCTTCTGGTGGCCACCCTGACCTTGGCATGGGCCAAGCCTTCGGCTTCTGAGGCCGCAGTGTGAGGACAACAAATTTGGGGGCCAAGATTTCTGTGGCTCGGACGTGCGACGGACCTGGATCATGGCATCTAACAATCTGATTTTTTCTGCCTCCGCGGTGCGATGTCAAGCATTGGTTGTCAGAATGAGCGGTCATTGGAGACTTGGGCATTTACCAATACCTTGGCAACTCAAAACGCGCGGCAGAAGAGGAACGTTGGGCATTGAACTTCCTCAGAAACAGCCTGGGCTTGTCTTGAAGACCTTTTTTCGAGGCACGAAAACCGTAATGTTTGTTTTTGTGTGTTTCTTTTAGAGCCTGGTTTTGCCATTTGCATGCTTGATGCAGCCGGCCAGCAATTCAGGTTCTATGTGGTGTAACCATCATGGCTTTTGGGGCTGCGGACAATCGACGCTGGCAGGCAGGGTTTTGACGCGTAGAGAGTCTCGGCTCTTTTGCTTCTTCAGAAGCATCCTTGGGAAACAACTACGAAGAAGGGCCTTCAGCAAATTGAGTTGGAACTTTTGCGGAAAGACATGCGGAAAGACAAGGCCCTCTGCAGAGAAAGGAAAAGCTTGTTGAATGGTTGAGAACTTGTCACGCGAAGGGGAGTCTTGGCACCATCTCATCCTGCCCACAGAAGTTTGGCGGCTCCATGTTCTTGACCCTGTGAAATTTAAGTTGCAAAGGGGGAAGGGAAGTTTTCTTCTGAAAGGATATGTTAGGTCCGAGAGTGCCTCACGCTGTATACAGGGTACTTGGCGCTTCTGGCAGCCATGCGAGGCCTTACATGGCCACAGCCCGTCAACCCGGCAACCCGTCAGCCGCCGTCAGCCAGGCGCCGATGGCCGCAACACCGACAACAAGGATTACACGTGCGACTGCGCCGGCTGCAGCGGTTGCGCTGAGCGCCTGGGAGCTGAAATTCAGAGTCCAGGGGCATGCGGAAGCAACTCTGGGGGTACAATGATCCCTCACTTCATGTCCATAGGCCGGGCGAGTTATTTGCCAAGTCCTTTGCTTGATAGCGGTTCTTTGCATTGCAGCAAACACTGCGATAAGGATTTTTTGGATCATTCTCTTAGGGTGGAAGCTTTGGTTTGCTCACCATGTCTCCCTGAGCTGCGCCGATAGTGTTTGTGCGGTGAATAGGTTTGATCATTTGCTGTTGGAGGATGACAAACTGAGCTATCACAAATTCAACAGAAGCGGAGACGACGTCTCTAGTTGCCTTGTGGAAGTGTGCCAAGTTGGCTCAGCCGAGAGGCTACACAGAGAAGCTGCTTCATCCCGTGTCGCTCATCGCAACTCTTGTTAGATTTTTGTTAGATTGGTTTTATGCATGGCCCACATGTTGTTTTCAGCAGGCTGCATGTTGTCCATGTCCAGGCATCAAAGAAACATTCAAGATTTCTTTTCCGTGCACTTGCCGACATGGGAGTTTGGACATCCACGGCCTTGTTGGCAGATTCAGCGAACGTTCGCCTTTCACCTCCAGTTGGTTTCTTCTTTTTTTCTGCTGGCATCGCTCACTGAGCTGAGGAGCGATGCTTATTGGGTGCCGGTGGACACGAGCAGCAAAACGTCCGGCACCATGGGCTTCCACAATCCCAAGTACAATACCTGGTTAAGGATGACTCACGAGAAAATGGCCGCAGCCCCAGATGTGAGAACTGTGAGGATCCAGAACTTGGCTGTTCACGATAGCACGAGTAACATTGTCCACTTTGCACAGGTAGCAGTGGGCGTGGCACTGGAGCCTTTGCGTTTTTTCCAATTATGCTTACTAAACGATGCTTTTTGGCCTGCTGAGTCATTGGGTTTCCCGTGGCAAACGTGACTATGAGTTTGCGTATTGTGTGCGTTTACGTCAAAAAACATTGGCGCTTTTTTACCGATCTTTGGTTGGCTTCCTTCGAAACTATCCAAGAAGAGGGTTTCCCATTCATGCTGAGAATGCCGCATATGTCACTTTAGCACAGTGCTGACATGCTCAGGTTAGCCACGGGTCCTTTGGTATGAATGAGATCCAGGGAGCGTGGACGCACTTCCAGATCGTCCAGGTGTGGTTCAGAGGGAAACCGAAAGAAGACATGCACCATTTGGGCGCTCTATTTTGAGCTTGAGCCCTTGTGACCTCCATGTGCGCAGCGCCAATTTTCTATGTCGGTTTTCTCAAGAGCCATACTATTCAGATTGCTGCGGGCATACGACGGGCATATGACGGGCTAACTTGGATTCATGGAAGGACACACTGCCATGTGTATACTTAGCACGGTCTATATTTTTATTATTATGTTGTATTATTATTCCCCCCGGATAGCTGAAAGCAATAGGGGTTTTAACTTCCAAAAACGAGGAAAAAATGATTTGCGAGATTGACGGCAGGGTGCTAGGGGACATGCAGTTTGGGGTGGCGCATGTTTGCGAGATTGACGGCCGGGCGTGCAATCATCGGACTGTTTCTTCCGCTATCTAGGGTGTATGCTGGTGAAATGTTTCATTATAGTATACTATAGTCTATAGTATTTATACTATACTGTATTATTTATGTTATCTCATCTTATCTTATGTTATCTTAAATCATACTGTATGCAATCATAAGGTTCTTGACATTGACAGCTTCAAACGCGCACACACCTAGATGGTCTTGATTGTCCCGAACCCAATGTTTGTTCCTGCGGCTTCAATATCATTTTCCCTTGCTTGCGCTAGTTTTATGCCAAACATGCAGCTTGCCGGATCACATCCAAGAGCCACCGGAGAAGCTTCAAACCTGGATCCGCGGGTTCAGCTGCAACAAAACGGCTTCGATCTTTAGAATATCTCCGGTATCGATCTATAGAGTTTGTTGCTGGCTTCGGGCGTGCCTCGTGCCAGCCTTGGCCTTTGCTGTATCCTGGGAAGATCATTGCCCTGCACAACCCGAAGAACAACCGGTTCCTCCGCAGCTTGCAAGCCAGAAAACGTCGCGAGAGTCACATGGGTCAGTTGAGGGCCGCCTGGACTCTTTTGTTTGAAGCTGCAAAAAGCAGCAGCATGACTTCATAAGCCTTTTGCCGCCGTTTCCGGATGCAGTGAAAGGAGTGCAGAGCTGTGCAAAGGGGTCAGAGCTGAGGCATGACACATGACAACATGGGCCGAACAGCCGCGAAGGCGTGGTGATTTGCGCATCTCCCCATGGCAGCCACTACATCAATCGTGCATAAAGGGGAGGGTAGCAGACATCCGATTTGCGTGGGTGTGTCCAGCCACTTGGTCAGCTGTAGGCCTTGGCTTGCCTCAAGACGAGTTGACCACACTTAACCTGGCTTTACGTTGCACTTGTGGCGAGTGGCATTACGTTGGCTGGACTGGGAGCAGGTCGAAGTGGCAGGGAGAGGTTGAGAGTGGGGTTGAGTGTGTGGTTGAGTGTGTCTCTTTATAACTGGTTGTTTTTGCGATGAGCTGCAGGGCAAGAACAACTTCCCTGATGATTGGGACTACGCAAAATTCCGAGTGGTGGACGGCGGATTCGGCACAATTGCTTTGCGACTTGGCATGAAGGTGAGCACCATGTATCATTGATCTATCGCTTAGCGTGTTAGTGACTGTTGGTGTGAACTGGAATTGAGGAAGCTTTCTGCTTCCGGTGGATCATGACTTCCATGATTTTCCAGCTTATTTGTAGTTTGCAAAGAACACATTGCAGGCAAACAATCAAGGCCGCACAAGTTGTTGCCAGTGTGGTTGATCTTTTTAGTTGCAATCATTCGCCTGGGTACCAGGGCTGCTTGTTCATTTTTTTTTTAAATTTGCGAAGGCATTATCTTGAGTTGCTTTAACTTCCTGCACTTCTAGCACTGCGTGTTCGCCAAATATCAGTCAATTGACGAAGGCTGAAGATGAGCTTTGCTTGATCAGAGTCAGATAACGTGCCTCAGGCATAGCGCCTTGTACGGCCGCTTCATTCGGATGAACGATGCTGACCTGCGCCCCTGGCTAATTTTTGCTGAAGAATGAGCTGGCCAAGCAGACATGATAAAGGGCAGGGGTTCGTTTGTGCACTTGCTAAAGCGGTCGTCTGTGCACTTGGATTTTGGTTTTGCATGAACTCGCTTTTCAGCGAAGCGGTCGTTTGTGCACTCGCCGACGTAGTACGTTTCAGCAACGCGCAGCGGTCATTCCTGACAGTTCCAAACCCACCCCACCCCACCCCACACCCCACCCCCCACGCCCCCCACCCCACCCCACCCCACCCCACCCCACCCCACCCCCACCCCCACCCCCACCCCCACCCCCACCCCCACCCCCACCCCCACCCCCACCCCCACCCCCACCCCCACCCCCACCCCCACCCCACCCCCACCCCACCCCACCCCACCCCGCCACTGTGGGCATGTTTGTGGACTGGGGCTTGCCAGGATGAGGAGTGGCGTGAAGGGCTGGAACGCATTGCCAAGCTACCTGGCTCAAGAGTCTGAGGCCATGTGGGGATTTTCAGTCGGCCACCGTTGCAAGGGCAAGAGGAAGACATTTGGTACATTTGTACCCTATCACCAAGGTGACTGGACAGACGAGCGGTTCACACCCGTGGATGGTGGCGACAACCAGATCGCCTTCCACAACCCTTACAAAAATCGCCGCCCGGGCGAATTAGCATGCCCGTGTTGTATGACTTTCCGTGAGCAGGTTTCACTTTGCTTGTGACAAGGCCCTGTTTGGTGTTGTTTGAACAATTGAGGAGCCATCTCCTTTGACCGGCCATTTAGCTTTTCTTGATGATGGGTATCTATATTATATTTACATATATATATATAGATATTATTTGCAAAGACCGAACATATTATCTTGAAGCTGCTGCTTTCACGATAGGGCTGGGTTTTACAACCCCAGCCAGTTGTCCTCATAGCACATGCCAGTCTTCTTTGCAAAGCAGTAGTGTTTGACACTTCGTTCTTGTGAATGCACGCATTTTCCGTCGCAGGCACAGACATTTGCATCCAGGTCATCGGAGTTTGCTTAGCTTGTGCCCCGAGATCTAATTGCCATTTCAGTTGCAAATTGAACAAACAAATCAGTATGCATTCTCTGTCTGCTCATGGCAAGTATGGTGGCTCTTCTTGCAAAAGGCCACTTGCCGTCGCAAAGGATTGTCGTATCAATCTCCCGGCTCATTGATTTGAGACGTGGTGCTATGGCGGATGTCATCCACTGTTGTTTCAATGGCCCCAATCTGTTTACTTGGTTTTGCACCTTGCCTCGGTACAGCGTGAACCTGGCTTCTTCGGCAGGTTTCATCCGCCTCAGCGACAGCGCACCTCGGCACCGCTGACCAAAACCTGGCACGTTTAATTGGTTCTCTCTGACAATCTCTCAGACCAAAGCTTGTGAGGACTTCTCGAAGCTTCCAGGGTCTGTCTGGATGCTCTAGAGACAGCCAATTGGGATGGCACCGTTTTTGGTCCTTGAAGAAGTCAGCGGAAGCTGTTTGCCGGGCACGGGCTTTGTTGGCATGACTATGCATTCTTCTGGGCTTTCACACAACCACACAACATTTGTTGAGACTGCTTACAAGAAAATCAAGCTGGAAGGATGTCGTCTAGGATGGCAAATGACTTTTTATTTCAAATGTTAAAGCTGCACTCATCTTCCTGGCTTGGAATATATAAGCTTCGTGACGATCCCTCTCCCAAGTTCGACAGCTAGACAAGCCAAGCAAGCCGTGAACTGGCGGGCTGAAGTAACATGCGCGGTACCCCCTTTTCTTACCGACTGCTTTCTCCTACTAACCCAATAATTTGAACGGCACCTTGTTTGGTGCCAGTCCGGGGTGAGAGGGCACTACTTGTGTTGCTTGGCGCACCAGACCCACGCCGACACAATCATTATGTTTTACGCATTTTGTTCACCAGCGTGAGGAAATCTGGGGGTAGGCAGACTTTTGAGGTCATTTGCAACAGTTCTGTTTGGTTGTGTGTGTGTGTGTGTGACTCTTTTCAAACTTTGGAGACAATCATTGGCATAAGCGACTCAGACCGCTGACACCAGCAGCACGAAGAACGCAGACGACCTGCCTTCTGGCTGGACCTGGGAACGCTTCGAGATCATCAATGTGGCTGTGGCCAGCAATTTTAACCGAGTTCAGCCTTCACGGCCTCAACTTTGACTGACTAGACAGTTGGCAGAAAGGACAATCTGATTGATTTTGTCTTGGAGTCTTACAGGGTCTCTGTGGGCGTGCATTGCGCAGCTTTGGTCTCAGGTAGAATTCACATGCGCGACGGGCAGCGGCAGCAAGTGCAAGACCTGCAAGAACCCCAATGACCGCACGGCCCCGTGGCTGTGAGAAAGAGGCCATCAACGGCCACTGAGAAGAATGCCTGCCTTTGATCGAGATTGTGGCCCACAGCTTGGCGAGCTTTTGTGTTGACTGACCATTTGGTTTCCCGGAGCCGGAAGGCAGGTACAAGGACTATCATTACTTTTTGCTGGGCTTGGCAGAGACCAAAAGGGACCTATCCTCCATGGTGTGCGCAGCTAACTTTGACCGTGATGTTTCCACTCCTTGCCGGCGTATCAGCATGTCACCGAGTCAAGAAAAATAAACTTATCGAACATTGCGAAGTTGGTGTTGGCTTTCTTGAAGCACTCCTTTTTGCACCACGCACCCAGGCCAATGACCACTGTGCCAGCTGCAACAGTGGCTGGAAGCTCTCGGGCACAAAGTGCGAGGCGATAGGGCACAAAGTGCGGGGAGTTTCAGGTTAGGGACAGAGCAGAGAGAGGGCGATGCCTTGGCCGTGAAGCAACATCTCCGGAAGTAAATAAGAGGCAATTTACCATGCAACAAGAACTGTCACATTGATTCTAGAAGTGCCAGTAGGAAGCATGCAGGGTGTGCTTCCTTGCAGGCCAGCCGGCTGTTCTACCGTTCTAGTGTTTGGAACTGAAGTTCCCACAGTTTGGGCGTCCTTCCGACCCGAAGTCTTTCGTTGGACAATGCCTGGCCAGGCGGTGGCATGCCCGGCAGACTCTACGGGCACCAACGTGGGCAGCGGATGCACCTGCAGTGCTGGCGCCGCGGGGGCAAGGGATTTTCAAACCGACAAAACGGATGGCCAAATGTCAAATGTCATTTCAATCCAAGAGCCGGGCTATTTGCCGGGATTTGCTTTGGGCCATGAAACTCTAAAGCTGTCAGACCACTGGGTGCCTCGAGCGGAAGGCAGGCTCTTGTCCCATTTGGCTCCTCCAGCTCGCAGGCTACTCTGGCACCATCACCGCTTCTGACAGTTCTCCGTTCTACACAGGCGCAGTTCCGCGCATTTCGCACTTCAAGTGAATTGATGCATCCACGGTCGGTACACGGACCTGCTCTAAACGAGCAAGCCTAAGCTACTTGAATATTCATGGAGCAATTCTTCCCAGACTGCTGCTTTCAAGCTTGATATATTTTGCTCCGGAGCTAGCAGTCGGGCTGGATTGCATCCTTGCATACATCTTTAGTCAACAGATATCAACCTGAGCAAACATATTCTGCGATGAACTGAAAGGGCCTGCTGCCAGAAAGACATCCTTTACATGCACCGTGTAATAACCGGTTGGTCAGATGGCTGATTTAGCCAAGAGCCGGGAGTACAAGGACAAATGCGAAAGGCCACCAGACGTCAAGCTCAGCCCCTTGCCTTGTGAGGCTCGTGCTCAGCTGAAAACTGCCCATCGTGGACTACGGGCACAAAGGCGCCCTTCATTCGCCTTGCCAGTGGCGAGTCACTGTGCCATTTGTCAGTCAGCCTGAGAACCTGAACGGATTCTGTTTTACCATGGATGCAACAATCGGGGCAATTGCATCATAAGGATGCTTCCTCGCATGGCAAGCCCGAACATCAAATCCTTGGCAGAGCTAGGATTCAGAGCATGGCGAGATCCACTTGAAACCCATCACACGCTTTGAGTCCCCCGTTTCAGCCTCTCACGGTCAGATCGCCAATGGATGCACCTGCTGGGACCATTACTTTGGGAGCATCACGGCCAAGGTTGGCCGCTCGCCCGGAGAATGCTGGTGGTTCGAGGGCAAGTGTCGCATATGGCAATGTTGATCATGCCAGATGCAGAGCTTTTGACAACCTTTGCCCACAATAGCAGAGCCAACCATTTTCTCAGATTTCTTACTTGTTGTGCCTTTGGCCTTTGCCTGGTTGAGCGCTGGATTCGTAGAGACCACCTGCGCGTGGCACGCGATCTGCCGATGCGGCAGACCCAAGATTGCTTAGTTGTGGCCTGAGGCAACCCTTGTTTGTATTTGGCTGATAGAACTTGCTTTGGCATGTCTTCAAGTTTAAATGGCAGCTGTGGCCTGCCCGAGGATCTCCCTACTACAGCGGAACCTGCAGGGTGCGCCGCGATGATTTTGGGGAGCCCGGAGGGAATTCGGGTTCAATTTGACAGCGAACCGAGTGATGGAGTCGAGCATGTTGCTTGAATGATTCAAACAGACATCACATTTTGACTGCTTGGAGGACGTTTGGAAATAATGTCTGAGCATGACTCGATTTGCCCATTTGTCCCCAAAACATGTTCCACACTGTGGCACGCTTGAGCTTGTCGACCAAGGGGAATCATGTTATGTATTTTGTTTGTTGGTGGATCACGAGGATCAATCTGGGCTCTTTACTAAGTACCAGTGCCACTCATAGAAGGTGCAAGCTTCAACAAGTTGCTTGTCTGGATTGGCGAATCGTATGAAATGTCTTTCATGGTCAGAATTTGCATTTCCTTGATGCTGTGATTCTCACACGATCAAGGCAAAAGACAGTGCGATTGACCGTTTGACAGGTATAGGGGTCGCGCGTGCGCGGGCAAGGCAGAGAACACGACAGAACGGTTTGAAGCTTCGATTAGCACTTGTCCTCCAATCAGCTCCAAAGGGCATGCTGGTACCCAGAGCAAAGAGCAAAGAGAGCGACGAGAGTTGGACAATGGCCAGTCCATGCTGGTTGGCGCCACGGTCGCCTTGCACAGCGGCGCCCAGAACCGCTTCGTGCCGCGGCCGGCTTGGGATTGATCCGGGGGCTTTGTCCGAACCATTTGGCAAGGTCAAGGTGGCAGGCCGCGAGTGGCATTCGTCTCAACCTGGTGTAGAATGCGTACTTTCTTTTCGAGTTTTCCCGCCCCCTCATGCGCTTCGCTTTGTCATGGCCCTGCTGCATGGAGGCAGCAGCAGATCCCGAGTCACCCTGCGGGCCTTTGACTGGCTCGCTGACCAAGGTTGGCCCGAGGACCCTGAGCAGTCTTGACCAAACAGTGGGGTGCGTTGCAGATACAGGGGTGTGGTTGCCGCGCAGTTCTATATGGACTGCAAACTAGATGTCGGCAATGCCTAGGTGAAGATGATTACTGACGATATGACGCGCAGTGACACGAAGAACGTGGCAGCTTAGCAATAACAGACGGCAGTTGTGTTTTTGTTTGGCCGCAGATAGGCCTGTGGCATTGAGGGAGGCTTGGTGTAATCGTGCAACAAACAAACGTGCTATTCGACGGAATCCCGACTTCAAACGCATCGCATGCCTATTGGGGCTTGAGATCATTCGGCCTTGCCTAAGCGGCCTTGCTCTACTCAGCAATCACCTGGCCAAGCGAGGCTACTCTTCCATGGTTGCAGTCAGTCCTGTCCATCCAGGTTTGGCGTTTTTGTGAGCAAGAAGCACGAGCTGTGATCTCATCTAAATCAAGTCCGAGCGACTTCTCACATCACTGCACGATTGCCAAATCACTCTGACAATATAGTTTTAGCAAGCTTCGGCTTTGGCTGCATTTGCAGAAATGCCATGTGTTTTCAAGTGGCTGTGCAAAGCTTTCTGTCCATGTCTCTTCTCTGCGTTGGGCATCGGCATTGCTTTTTGCCTGCCGAACTTTCATGCGTTTTGTTGTGTCCTTGCTGACCTCCGTACAGTGCACTAGTGGCATACTCTTCACTTGGGCGCGCGCAGGGTGCTGCAACGCCAACATTTGTAACCCAATTCATGGGACCCTGCAGCTGGCTTTGCTCTTGACGGAGCATCAGACAAGTCCCTGCAAAGCATTTGACTTGCCTTGGCCAAGCCATGCTTTTACCAGCATGTTAAAATTCCCAAGGGGTTGGAGCTTTGCCAGGGGCTCCGGGCTGTTTCCTTTGCGACCCTTGTGTCACAATTGAGGGTAAGCTGCCTGACGGCTGGGACTCCGAGCGGTTCGTGGTGCAAGAAGGAAGCGACGCCCGCATTGGTTTCAAGTGCCTGAAGTACAACAAGCGCCTGGGCGTCACACCTCGGGCATGCGCGTATGGCCACCTTTTGCGAATTCCCTCTTGGACCACCCTTCTAAGCTTGTTTTGGTTTGCTTGTCGCCAGAGAAGAGTTCCTACAGAACATTCCGTGGCAAGGCAGCTGCAGCTTGCCTGCGGGGTTGTTCCCACTTCACAGCGAGCGAATGGCATTTCATAGGCCTGGGCAAAATGAACACCTGCTGGTCCATACGGCTAGCAGAGAACCCTGGCTTCGACCCCTTGCCGCCCAATAAGATCTCGTGTGCGCCTTGGGCCCGAGTAAAAGAGAGCTGAACGCTATAGGGCCTGTGTTGTTGATACGAAAGAACGTGACATCTCTTACAACAGCACTTAGAATATCCAAGTAAGAATTATATTTAGTTAAATATACAATTGAGGACGTATTCCAAATATAATGTTTGTCTTAATCTTGCAACAACATTTAACTGGGACCTTCCTTCCATACGAGTTGTTTTATAGTTTAGTTGGGATCTAGATAAGACATAAGCTCAGGTGATATGCCCAACAGCATGAGGCGCATTTGCGCGCTTCGGAACCGCCCCCCCATGTATTCCTCAGAAGTCGGAACCGCCCCGCGCTTCCCCGAAACCCTCTTCAGATTCGCCTGGAACCCTCCTCGAATGCTCCCCATACATGTTGCAGGCCGTGGACCCCCCCCCCCAACCCCCTGTGGGGGGGGGTGGGGGTGGGTGGTGGTGGGGTGGTGGGGTGGTGGGGTGGTGGGGTGGTGGGGTGGTGGTGGGGTGGTGGTGGTGTGTGGGGTGGTGGGGTGGTTGGGTGGTTGGGTGGTTGGGTGGTTGGGTGGTTGACTGGACAGCATCCCCAGCATTGCCAGCATCATCCCCAAGATGCGGATGATGCGGGGGGGGACCATACCATTGGGGGGGGGGGGGGGGGTACGTGGCCCAGGGACTGGTACATACATGCCGGAACCCTCCTCAGAACCCTCCTCGGAATCCTACCCCGACGCCGCCGGACCACCCGGAGCCTGTTTGGGCGAAGACCATGGCTTTCAGCTGAATAAAGTCACACAATTCCAACATATGTTTTTTCATCTTAGGCGAACATTTACATATCATTTTCTCTTGCCAAATCTGGCTTTAAGTGAAGCTTATTTAGATTTGAATAAAGACACTACGTCTTGCTGTTTATTGATTCAAGACAAACACACATAAGTTTAATTCCTTCCTTATTAAAAGTGGGTTGAAACTCCAACTAAGCTTTCATCAACGCCTTATTTGGCAACATGTTCAAACTCGGACTCCAGATGAAAATGTTATTTGATCTATTTATATTTTTTGTTCAACACATGCCACACGCCTTTTCCAAAAAATGACATCCTATGTGGGCACAGCTCAAGATTTGGAGCCATGGGATTTGGCATTGTGGTTTCTTTGTTTTCTTGGAAAACTCGAGGTGTTTTGCACTTTTCCAGAACGTGCTAAAAACTGAGTTTTCAAAACAACACAAACACAATGACAGGTTCTGAGGAGGGTTCTGGGGGACGCACGGAAGAGGGTTCCAGGGATGCACGGGGGCGAATCTGAGGAGGGTTGAAGGGATGTGCAGGGCGTCTGTGCAAGATTAGAGGAAGTATCTCGGAAGGAAAAGTAACTCTTAAAAGCGATCCGAGGGCTGGGCTAATAGAGTCCACCGGCAGCATGCTCTACCGTTTGGGGCGCGAACCACCTCTCTTCCCTTCCGGGGTGCGCGCAAATGTGGTTGCAGCTGTTGGGGATATCTCTTGAGTCTTTTGATACGAAAACTTCGTTTTTACACCTCCAACAAATGCTTCAGAAACGAGTTTTCAGAAAAACACACACACACACACACAAAAACACAAACTGACAGACCCCATGTGGGCACAGCGCAGGATCTGGAGCCATGGCGTCTGGCATGTTGTTTCGGAAAACTCCAGAGTGCTTAGCATTTGTTCAGTCCATTTTGTATTGTTCATGAAATACTCGGCATTGTCTTTTCTGAATGTATTCATTAAACACAAAACTGGGTTTGGTCTGCGTTTTCAGTGCATTTGCAAGCTTCGAGCTCGCACTTTTATGTGGCACTAGCTGCTCTTTTCCCGTGATGGGTCACTGATCACAGACATTCATTTCCAACCCCTGAGAGTTGGCGCCCCAGGCCGCCCCAGGTAAAGGGCCAGTTGTTCAAATTCCAGCCTTTGTGCCCCTCCTGAACAGCAACTGTCAGAGGTGCTTTGCATGCTGGTTGACATTTTTTTGCTGAGGTGGATGAAGATGGATGGCTCGGACTGGCTGGGGGGGAGATTCTGAGAGGGTTCCTGCCTTCACGCAAGCATTTGTTTGGAGAGAGCTGTTTGTGGGCCACGGAGACGAGTCGCTTGGTTGGATCATGCAATTTCCCGGAGGAGTGCAACGCATTGGGATGATTGGGCTTGGAATGATGAACATAGCTGTGGCCGAACCTGCTGCCAGGGCTGTGATTTCCTTTGCAGTTTTTTCAAGGGAGGACTTGACCATGATTTGGAAAAAGCAAACGTTGGGAGGACTTGAAGAACCACGATGCGATGAAAGGCTGGGAGAAGTTCCGCGTTGTAGACGGCGGGAGCGGAGTGCTGGCCTTCCATCAAGACTCGCACAACCGCTTTGTCCGGATGTCCGACTCCAAGATGGACTGGGCACGCGGTTCCTCTCACACGCGGTGCTTTGCGCGGGAAGCAATAGGCAACTGGAGACTGATCCCAGCAATTACAACCCTGCATGTTTGCCTTAAGCTGGTGATCAAACGCTGTCTTGTTCAAGAGAGTGGCACAGCATTGCGGAATAATCCAATTTCAAGGCAGGATGGCTGAATGAGTGTAGGCGGGTTACGAGCGTGTGCGGGGGAGTGGGGCCGTGGTTTTTGCATCAGCCACAGGAACAAGCCATCGCCGCTCAAGTGGATGGGCGGCGGCATGCAACCTGTGTTTGCCACATGACACAATTTCACTGATCTTCCCTTGAGTTGTTTCACGTAGTCATTGCAGTAGCACCCGGTGGCAGAAACAGCAACAGATGGCAACTCGTGGCAACAAATACAAAGCAAGGCAACCCAAGCCGTCCGCCAACAAATATTGTGCAAACCAACGTCAGCAACATCTAGGTGTCCTTCCTAGCCCCGGGCGCAGGACACCAGTGCCCTGAAAGACGCCAAGGCCCTTCCTAGTGGCTGGAGCTGGGAGCGCTTCACCGTGGTGCAGGCAGAAAATACCGTGCAGTCCAAGGGTCAAATGCCAAGCTGGAGATGGCTTTGGGTTCTAGGGTTTGGACAGGGCTGGCTTTGGCGAAACAGCGTCCAACGGCGAAACAGAGTCCAATGGCGAACAGTTCTGGAATGCAACATTGGACTGGTACTTGCTTGTTTCTCTGACCTTTCATTAGAAACAGGTAGTGCCATGTGGGGTTTTCCAATCGCACGTTCAGAAATGACACACAAAGTCAGCGTTTTGGATGGTCCTGAACACACCGAATCAGATCTTCCGAAGGTCGCCTGCATTTGTGAAGTTCCTGCAACAGTGGGATGCTTGCTGTTTGCCCGGACAGGAGAGCAAGCATTTCAGTGCAAAACAAGGGAGAATGGGGGACACGACACGCCCTTTTAGGCGTGAGAGACTGATCATTCTGGGCGATCATGGTTTGAACTTTTGATGTATGCTTTTTCTTGGCTTCACGTTTGCGTGGCTCAGACGTCACGCGAGTTTTGGCAGGCGATCCCCGGCCTCAAGCCGGGCTCGGAGGTGGCCTTTTGGATCCCAGCCAAGAAGTGCCCGTCTGGCTGCAATTGGACGGGGGGATTGAGGGGGTCGGTCATTGACGCAGTGCTCCCAGCTCGTTTGGGAAGGTAACGAGGATGTAGAACCCTTGCACGGTCAGGCACTGACATTTCTTGCCAACACCTCTTAATACTGGCATACGGAATCCTTACGTACGGATGCAAAGCCTTCTTTGTGTGGGTACTCTGCTGCTTAAGCGCATCCCCTGCTTTTGGCGCAATTCCCTTCGATCTGCAAGCCCTCCATGTTCTGGTTGGGAATCTGTTGCATGCTCGCAATTCCGGGGGGGGGGGGGTTGCGGGTGCTCTTTGCACGTTCCTTGCGTTCTCCCTCACACGGTCTCCAGCGGCCCAAGACTATCTGCGGATGAACACGGCCGCTGCGCTGGACGGCAAAGCGGAAACTGGGCCGGAAAAGCTGAAGGACAGCGCGGACGAACTGCGGTTCAAGGCGCGGGAACGTATTTTTACGCAAGGCTCGCCGTTGTTGATTCCATTGCAGACAGAGCAAACATATAGCAAGGTGCGGCTGTCACACATGACCCTGAAACAATCTGTCCATTTGTACAACTAGTGTTGAGTTGAGGATGATGCGGTGGGACCACCCATAAGCAAAACTACATTGTGTGTGGCTCTCTTGGTGCAATGCACAACACATTCATGATGACATGTGTTTAATCCGCTTGTGTTCCGTGCTTTAGAATGAGCATCAAGTCATAGTCGAGACACGCTGCTGTCGAGCTAACTTTATCTGGAGAAATCCAAACATATGTTTCAGTCTTATGGCAGGTGGTGGACGCTGGCTTTGGGCAGCTTGCCTTCCACAACGCGAAGTTCAATTCCTACATCCACATGAACGCGCATGCCGCTCACTTGCAGAGTATGACTGAGAGGGGCAATGTAGGCAAAGATCTTTTGGTCCATTTGTTTGCACAGAGGGGTTGCTAGTATGTTGCTCTTCTTCAAGAGCAATGTGCCTGGTTAGGATTTGGAACGTCAAGTGCACCAGAACATGCAGGCCGAAGGTTAGTTGCTACTCGTATGTCGTTAGCTCCCATGACGTGCAGTTGCACTTGGCGCCCTTGGCACAGAAGTTAATCGAATCTGGCAATACAAATTGACCTTCCCAGCGAGCGCCCCGTGCCGAGGGCATTTGGAAGACCGCCGAGCTGGGCGCAGACGCCGCGAGCGTTTGGCATGAAGATCCTTGTTTGAAGCTGCATCCCTTAGCAGCCCAAAGGAAGTCCATCAGTTGGGAAAGGATTCCACTGAAGCAATCAGAAGCTCAGGGTTTCCCGCAGGAAGCGGTCGCCACTTGAGAGCTCATTTTCCAAGACACTGGGACGTACTTGAAACGTTTGTTGGCGGTCTTAGCGATTGTTTTGAGGGAATTCAACTTCTCCCTTTTCTCCTTCTTCCTCTGAGTTGCCTCGATTTCCGCGCACTGCCCCTTCATGACCCCTGAATTGTCTTCTTACTACTGGCTTTCCCCTGTCATGTCCACTTCCTTTCCTTTCACTTCCCCCTTCATTCCCTGTCATTTTCTCGGTTTGTCCGCTTCATTTTGCATGTATGTCCCTTTCATTTCCAGTCATTTCCCTACATCTCCCTTCGGGTCCTTTGATTTCCTCATCCTTTGTGCCTTTCATTCCCCCTTAACCCCCCCCACCCCCCCTGCATTTCTCATTCCTTTCCCCTTCATTTCCCTTTCAGTTTCCCCTTGTTTCCCTTTTATTTCCACTTGCCTGTTAAGTTATGTCCACTTCCTGTCTCCATGTCCTTGCATTTCCCTTTATTTCGTTCATGTCCCCTTCATTTTCCCTGCACTTCCCTTGCATTTCCCCTTATTCCCCAGTATTTTTCCCCCCCAAACAAAACACGGTAGTTTTCAACGTTTTCGCAAGAAGGAGGTCAAAAATACATAGTTTTTCCAGGTTATCGGCAAAAGCAGGCGGAAAACCCGAACCAGCAAAGATGCGGGGGGGATGGGGGTGTTTGTTTGAAACGGGCAGGGGGATTCGAGCTGGGGACCCCTATTTTACGACACCAACTCCCCGAAGACTATTTTTAGTAGAATGTCATCCAACCTGGGGGAGCGCCCCCGTATTTGATCGTGTCCGGCGGGGAGGGGGCTATCCTCTATCTTCTCTTAGGTGTCCGACACTTGCCGAGCAACGTTTGTCAACCATTCGACTGCTCACTGTCGAAAACAAATGGTGGGATGAAGCATGCAACGGTACCATATGATATTTTGCTTCAGGCTTGTAAGGGGCGCGGCGCTCGGCCCCCAAAGAGCCACTTGCCTAAGAGGGTCAAAGTATAACAGTACGACCCCTATATCAGTCTGAAACCAGTCTGAGCTCAGTTGTTCAGGGGGAGTTGGGGGATGTGGGAGGGGGAGTTGACCTTGCCTTGGCGGCAAGACAGGTTGGTGGTCCTTGGCCAACTTGCGAGGAAAGCAGACTATGAGCCCCAATCCCAAGGGCGACTGCCAAGCAACCTACAGCACAAGACGAGATCGGCGTTTTGGGACCATGGTGCATTCAAGCAGAAGCGCAGGATGAAGTCCGCAACTCCATGTCCCAAATCGTCTGGTTGCAGACTGGGTTCAGATCTGTTCCTTAGCCTCTACGCTTTCATGAAGCAGCTGACGTGCCTGATGCAGCTGTTGGAAGACGGGCGGAGTTCTTTTCTAGTCGCGCATATGTGCTAGAACGGTTGCAGCGAGGAAATGTGGATGTAGGGGGGGTCAAAATGTAACACATGCTCTACACTGTTTTGCCCGTGGAGAAAGTTAATTTATCATCAGCTCAACGTGGACCATGTAGTCTTACATGTTTACCCTTGCTTTCTGTGGAGGGCGTGTGCAAAAGACGAGTGAACATTTCCTAACCTCGGATTGTAGCGCATGCAAGTGTGGAATCTTCGTGCTTTGACCCCTCTCCATGCCAAATGAAAAGGAGGGTAGATGTAGACCATGGCTGACCACCTATCGCTTTTTAGTTGCACACTCTGAGTCTGAGACACTTTCCTCGGCAGGTAAGCAAGAGCCTCGTTTCTTTAACTTTCAAACCACCGAGCGACCAGGCGAGATGGACCGTGGTTGATGCTGGAAGTGGCCAGTTTGCACTGCACAGCCCCAGCAAGAATCGTTGCGCGGCCAAGAGCTTCCGGGTTGGGAGGGAGGTATCTTGTTTGGAACCGGCCCTTTAGTTTTAAGGGGAAACACCAACCATTCTGGGGGTCCGAATTTTGAGACAAGCCTAGGTCGCCATGTCGTTTGATCGTTTGTTACTTCTTTGTGGTCCCTTGTAGCCTGGTTCCCAGCCATCCCAAAACCTTTTTAAGTGTTAGTTTACAATTTAACCCTCTAAAAGTTAAAGTTTGCTTTTACTCTGAGAGACTTTTGCGTGATGTGTCTGTTCATGCGCTGACGCCAAAATACATATGTTTTGCAGGGGTCAGCGCTGCGCAGCGGACGGAAGATGCAATTCAATATTTGTACCCACATGAGGGGTGAGCAGCCAGTTTCAGGCACCCATCCTTGCAATTGAAACCCACGTTTTGCAAGTTGTGTAGATGAAAGAGAACTGAAGAACTGACTGGGTTTGCGCTTGTGGCCACCGTTTTGGCTGACAAGCCGGCGATGTTGTACCACAGATTCAGGAGCGTCAGCCACACGGCCCCGTTGACGGTGCAACTCTGAGATACTATTCTTGAAGCGCAAGTGGATCGATTTGCCGCTTCGAGCGTGCAAAGGAGCAAAGGCTCTTTCGGCTTGAAATCCTGAACATCGGGCCTTCCAGGCTGCGCACACCATGGGCCCATGGCCGGATCTAGAAAGTGCCAGACTTTTCGAGTCCTCTGTAGTATTTGGTTTGCAACATGCGACTCATGCGACCAGTCCGGGTCTTGGTGCGTCAGAAGGTGCTTAGGAGCACCTTGTCCTTTCGGCGCGCTGAGGCTTCCTCGCTGTGAGCAGCGCCGGCAAGTCGTACCGCAGCGACGTCAAGGAGTGCTGCCTTTGGCACAAGGGAAGGTGAAAGAAGACAAACCATCTTGTCAATCCTGCACTCCTTGGGAATAAGTAGTATCTAGAGTCAATGGTTATGACCTCGGATTTGCTTTTGTGCAATTTAGGGCATGGCGATGGAAAGGTGGAACAAAGTCCTGCTTTTACATGAATACAGCGTACAAGATTCGAACATCCAGGAGTTAGTTATATTTAGCCTGCCACAAGTAGCAACGCTTGTTCTCACCGAAACAATCAGAGGCACAGGATGTCAGAGAAGAGTGAGGCATTTCTCTTGTGGTTCGTGTGCAAGCGTAATAATGATAGTTCTGGGAGCAACATGCGAGGCTCATGTTGGGTTGACGAGGGGGTTGGCCACGGTACACCCGACAACTGAATGGAGAGCGGTTGTTGTGCTTGTGTGAACAAACGCTGTGAATACCATTGAATTTGTGCTTCGAGCTCAAGACTCATGGCTTGTGTCCGGGTACTCGATCTTGCGCTCGAGCACGTGGAGCTGGCAGGCGTGGCTTGATAGCACACCTTTTACTTCATCCTCCAGTCGTCAAGCCTAAACGCGTAGCCAGCTGCCTATTATACTTATATGGATCATTGAGCTCCTTGTGAGGCTTCCTTCTAAGCTGGTTCTAAGGCTCCTTATCAACCTTTTAAACATCCTTGCAACGCTCCTTGTAAGGACTCCCAATATTCCCCCCGTAAAGCTCCTCCTTATTTTCTTCTTTCACACCAAATAGGGTTTCAATCAGAATGTGATTGGAATAGAATTCGATAAGGGGAGAATTCAATGAGAATCTATGTTGACTGCGGATTGCACGAGGAATTCCTTTCCAAATGTGGTTTTGTGTTGTAAGTTTTTGCAGCTTACACATATAATACGACAAGGGGGCGCATTCAAATAGAACTTCAATCTTCAAGTGGACTTTAAGTAAGGCGTGCTTTCCATAAGTATAAGTTAACATGGACATAGTTAGTTTGCCGAAATTAGCATATGCTACTTGACTTAGAATTTAAATCTTACCTGGAATTTTGATATAACTTAAGAAGCGCGTACTTGAGGTTGAATGTCCATTTTAAACTGGAACTGTAGGAGGAAATCCTTTTAACATGTTTTGTTTGTGCTTCAGGATGCAAATAGGTAGCTGATAGGGGGCGGGGGCTGAGCATATTGTTAAACTTGGAGCAACTGTGTGGCCTGAACCTGTGAGGTGTATCAGCGCGGCAGTTGTTTTCACTATGGGCAATGCAGTGATACACATTGGCTCAAGGCCTTGAGATGTATGGGCAGCGGATGTAGCCCAACTGTACTGCTAGGAAGCCTCTTGCAACTTAGCACATATATATATATATGTTTGCATGTATTTTGTGCGGGGGTCTTGCCATGTATGCATATGGATACATACGTATACAAAATGCACATCACACACAGGCATACCATACGCTCCTACTTTCTTTTCTCTCACAAGCACACCTCTATATGACACACAGAGCCACATATCTCTCTCTCTCTATATATTTATGTGTGGAATCGTCCCAATTTTCATTGTTGTCCAGGGGTGAACTCGTCAGTGGTTGAATTGTAAGCGCTTGGCGTTGCTCGCCTCGGCCGTTCCGCTTTTGGCTGGCTTCGATGTGTTAGTTTGCCTTGATGTGTTGTGTTTGTTAGAGTGAGTGAGTCGGCGCCGAAATGCATGAGCTGGTTTTGAGGGCTACAGAGTGGCCGGGCCAAGCGTGACTGGTTTCTAGGGGGATTTTTGCCGGCTTCTAGCGGAACTTGACTGGAGTTTGACCGGTTTTAGAGGGGATTTGACAGGTTTTAAAGGGATCGGCCGGTTTGGAGTTGGACCGGTTTCGAGCGAGGATTTGAGTGGTGCCTGGAGAATTGGACCGGTTCTGAGAGGGGAATTTGACCGGTTTTGAGAAGGATTTGACCAGTGACCAAGGGAGGCTTGGGAGGTTGTTTGTTAAGGGATCTCACCGCTTCCCAGTCCTGGGAGCTGACCGCTGCCAGGCTCGTCTCAAGCGCGCTGGAGGCAGCTGGAGCAGGGATTTTGGCCGCGCGAAAAGGTTGATCCCAAGGAATTCTTGTTTGCTTGCGTGCGCTTGTTTGAGCACTTTTACACCTGCGGGATAGGGCAGGAAATGCGTCGGCGCTTTTGCAGGAAACACTTTCACAGCTGCAATTCGCGCACGTACCTCTGCGCGGAGAGCATTGGGCCTCAGAGGCTCCTTGCTCTTCCACCATGTCGCCATTTTGCCATGTCCAAATTTTTTACTTTACTTGGCGCTTCTCGACCAGGATGGCGATGAGTTGCCTGCTCATTGGTCGGCGGAGCGAATCCGAGTCATCCAGGCACCGTGCGGCCCGGGCTTAATGTGTTCAAAACGGGACCTCGTAGAGGCTTTGACAGAAGATGCGGTGTGACTGGAGTTCGTTCAAATCGCCAAAATTGTTGGAGTTGATTAGACGCGTTTCCCAATGGTGGAAACCCCTTAGCGTTCCAACCATCCCAGCAAAGGGTCACTACGATTGCAGGCTGCTGTGACCAATGGCTTTCTGATGTTCCAGTTGGCGTCAGTCATTCAGGGCCTCCGATTCCGTTGTGGCCCAAAAATTGATGACTTCTGACAACATGGCCGTCACCCTGTCTGACCCTGCTTTCATCTCGGCCACATCCTCGGTGATCACGTGATTGCTGTTGGAGCCCAAGTTCCCACTACGCTGCGCAACACATCTTAGTCCAGCTAATTCGTCGCTGGCATGTTGATTGAACAACTGACTGTTGCACAACTAGCTGCAGATTGTGGTTCGACGCGCGCCGTGCTCACATCCGCAGGCCTACAAGTGCGCCACTGGCAGCGGCAGAAAATGCAAGACTTGCAAGGCTGCAGGTCAACGCGAGGCAGCGATGGCCGATGAGGTTTGTAAGGGATTGAAGATATCAATGAGACTGCAGCCCAAATGGGCAACCGTTTCTTGCTCCAGGCACCATTGTCAATGAATGCATGAGGAGGCTCTTGGAAGAAAGTCTTGACAATGGCGTTAATTGCTGCGGCAGGCAGTGAGATGGGAGCTGCCAGGGTTTGTTCGAAGCAGCGTCACAATTGACAGCATTTGCCGTAGACAGTGGTTCATTTTACAGTCTCTTGACTTGCCTAGGAGCTGGAAAGATGGAATGTTGGTTCAATCTCTGACCAGTGATTGGTCAGAGTATAGCC